TTTCTTCTATTCTGATGTCGTAGTCTCCAAAGTCATCAGAAACTTGTATTCAAGAGCACCTGTTAAGAGTTTTATAGCTCATTATAAAACCACCTTCTAAAGAGGACCAAAACAAGACAACAATTGTCTGTGGATGGCAAAAGGGTTTAGGGCAGCTGTGATCAAAGATACAATTGATAAGGAAATTTGTCACCTCTGTGGCACACAACAATTTAACATAATTATAATTATTACTGATAATGTACACGAAGTCATATCAGAATTATAGGAGTTTCTCATGATTTTGGAACACATACCAATCAAATATTTGTAGAAATAGAGCCTAAAGAAAACCAAACACCATTTCATATTTGACAATATTTTCCACTTTGGGAGGCAGAGGCGGGTGGATCACGAGGTCAAGAAATCGAGACCATCCTGGTCAACATGGTGAAACCCCGTCTCTACTAAAAATACAAAAAATTATCTGGGCATGGTGGCGCATGCCTGTAGTCCCAGCTACTCAGGAGGCTGAGGCAGAAGAATTGCCTGATCCCGGGGGGTGGAGGTTGCGGTGAGCCGAGATTGTGCCATTGCACTCCAGCCAGGGTAACAAGAGCGAAACTCCGTCTCAAAAAAAAAAAAAAAAAAAAAAATTCCTGTGTGATTTTTATACAAAATAAGCCAAATCACATCATTTTTGGACTTTAGCGTACCTAATATCTTCAAGGATTAAATTGGTCAGAAAAAGACATAATTTATAATTTGATTTTGGAATGGTCAAAGGTTTAAGACACTTGATATCGCAGATCATTGTAAAATAAGTTATTCATTTGACCAAAGTTGAAACTCAAGCATTTAGAAAAAAGGTGAAAACCTTCATTCTTTGAGAAAGAAGACTTAATAGCATGCTATTTTAATAGCACCCTAATAAAGTAGCATGAAGCCAATTACATTTGTTTTTCAAAATTTTATAAACAATCTATAAAATTTTAATCTTGAACATAAGATGTAACTTTCATAAGCCTTTTGTAATCTTTATAACCTTTACTAAGGGGTTGTTTATTGCTTCAGGAAAACCTTGTTACTCTGACACAGGGGCCCATATGCTGGTCTTGCATCAGTGTGCCTTTGACATTCAATAGAGAAACAACTTATTTTATCTCTCAAAATCGGCCCTTACAATCTCACATGCTCACCAAAAAAAAAAAAACCAAAAAAAAACAAGACATAGAAATGGCCAAAAAAATGTGAAAAAATGCTCAACATCACTAATCAGGGCAATGCAAATGAAAACCACCATAGAGATCACCTTTCTCCGTGTGAAATGCCTGTTATCAAAAAGTCCGAAGATTAAATGCTGTTGAGGAGGTGAAGAAAAGAGATCCCTTACACACTATTGGTAGGAATGTAAATTAGCACAGCCATTATGGAAAACAGCCTGGAGGTTCCTCAAAAAATGTAAAAATAGAACCACGGTATGATCTTCCATTTCACTCCTGAGCGTATATCCAAAGGAAATGAAGTCAGGGTGGAAGCCATAACTGTGAGGCTGTTTTATTGCAGCGCTCTTCAAATAGCCAAGATATGGAATCAACCTAAGTGCCATTCAGCAGATGAATGGATGAAGAAAATGTGATACATACACACAATGGAATACTCTTCAGCCACAAAAAAGACTTAAATCCTCTCATTTGCAAACACAGATGAACCTGGAGGGCATTATGTTAAGTGAAAAAAGCCAGGCACAGAAAGACAAATCCCGCACAATCTCCCTTAGGTGTGGAATTTTTAAAAGTTTGTCTCGTGGAATTAGAGAGCAGAATAGAGGTTAGAAGAGGCTGGGGATGGTGGGGGAAGGGAGATGCGGAGAGGATGGACAGTGGTTACAATGCTCTAGTTAGATGGGAGAGGTAAGTTCTGGGATTCCAGTGCACAGCCTGGCGACTGTAGTTCACAAAAAGGCATATTTCAAAAAAAGCTAGAGAGAGGAATTTGAGTGCTCCAGCCATAAAGAACTGATATGCTGATTACCGTGGTTTGATTGTTATACAATAAATGCATTGAAACATCATACGGTACCCCATAGATATGGACAATTATGTATCAATTAGAAATAAAGGATGTCATGACAACCAGTGGAAACGTCAGTTAGATAAAAATCCAGCAGTTCATGATGATACACACAATGAACAAAACAACTCCTTGGTCATTAGTAGAGTTCATAGCGCACTAGTTCTCCACTCAGTAAATACAGGGGAAGATTCAACCGTTTATTAATGTCTGCGTTGTCTGTGTTCCAGGATAACCAAATGGTCGATGAGGAAAAAATCCTTCCTTATAGACAAATTGTAGCTTATGAGTGCAGAGGAATTAGAGAATTAGAAAGTCACCAGTTTGTAATTCCTGATGAAATAATAGATCTGACAACAGTTGATAGCCAACACTTGACTCCTCTAGGAGGAAGGGGGATGGGTCCTTTGCCCTTGGATGGGCCATGCTGACAACTGGGCATAAGCATTTCACCCTCGAAACCCACTGAAATGGCGATGAGGTCTTACGGTAGTAGGGGAAAGCCAAGAGGCAACCCCATTCCTGCGCCCGGCAGGAGCGCCACAGGCGGTAGGCAGTGCTGAAAATCATTTATGATTGATTGCATCCACAGATCGCCCCTGCCGCTGCAGCAGGTGACGGTCCCTTTTCCACTGCAGGAGAAGATTAGTATTTGACTCCCTTCAGGGAGTCACTGGGCACAGCCAGAGAGGTGTGCCCAGCTCCCCTCAAGGGGAATAGGTGCGTATTGAAGTACCCCCAGTCTGGCCTTCCACAAAGCTCTGAGAGTGCTCATAGCCCGCTGTATTGCTGCATAGGAAGTTCCTCCATAGGACAGTGAGCACAAACACGGGGTTCTCTAATGAAATGGCACAGCCAGACCGTGCTGTGAAGCGGCCTCCTCCATGTTACTCAGTGTGTATGTTATTCTGTCTAGAAATGCCATTCAGAGCTTAGCCAAGTGACACACTGTGGTACCTTTCCTTTCTTGCACGACATTGCAAGTGGTGTGAGGCAGCACAAATAGCTCCCTTTCCTTCTTCATTTTAGTAGCATTTACCAAGAGTGCGTATGGGGTGATAGAATTTGACTTAAGATAGGATACCTCAACCATAAGTGCTCTCCTAACATTAGGCAAATTAGATAATTTATATGATATCAGCTGGAGCCCTTTGGGAGATTTTTATAGATCGAGAATGATTTGGTTACTTAAAGACTTTTTTCATGTTTTAGATTAACACTATTGTGTTGTATTCAAAAGTAATTCTGCTCTCTCATAAAGAATGATGCTGGCTTGGTGCGATGACTCATGCCTGTAACCCCAGCACTTCCGAAGGCCAAGGCAGGGGGATTGCTTGAGCCCAGGAGTTCAAGACCAGCCTGGGCAATGTAGTGAGAACTTATCTCTACCAAATATTTGAAAATTAGCCAAGCATGGTGGCATATGCCTGTGGTCTTAGCTACTTAGGAGGCTGAGGTGGGAGGATTGCATGAGCCGGGGAGGCAGAGGCTGCAGTGAGCTGAGATTGTGCTTCTGCACTCCAACCTGCGAGACAGAGTGATACCCTGTCTCAAAATAAAATAAAATAAAATAAAATAAAATAAAACAAAATGCTTAGGCACAGAAGATTCCTATGGTAGCATTCACCAGTTAATACCTGTGCCTGAGCTCTATGAAGTCCTTGCCTTGATAGTTCTTATTCATGGTCACAGCCTCAGTGGAGCACTTGGTTTCACTTTGCAGCTATTGACCTGTCCCTTGTCCACTCCAGTGTGGCTATATGATGATGCTAATAATTATTATCGTTTCAGTTTATTCAGTGCTCCATATCTGCCAGCCGCAGTTTTTTGAATGCGTTATCTCATTTGTTTTTAGTAATTCCTCATGTAGGCACTCCTCTTACTGCAGGCAAACAGGACACAGACAGCTTGAAGGACTTCCCCTAAGGTGGTAGCACAGCAGATAGGGAAAGACCAGGGCATATCTTGGAGTTGAGTCTCACTTGCTGTTCTGCGTCTCATCCTGGGTGTCTGTGTCCGTCTGCTGCTCTTCTCTCCAAGTCCTCTGTCTTCTGCATTAGCAGTGACTTTGGTATTTCACAGAGAAAGTAGATGGTATAAGGAGGGACTCCCTTGTCCACACCCCTCCCATAATCCCATCCTTTTCTTTATTCTTTAAAACACTGTAGTGAGAAAACCACAGGTCTAGGGCCAAGTACATGGTCTTTGACAAGCTGTTAATTTCACTTGGTCTCAGGTTTTTTATTTGCAAAGTAGAGACTGGAGTGCCTGCCTTCCTGAGCCAGCCTGCCTCCTAGAGCACAGCAGGTGCTCCTGAGCTCTGTTGTGCTATGGGTGAGAAGGGGTCTGTGTCTGTGGCCTGTCTAGAGTGTGCCCTGGACAGTAAGTGGATATTATTATCACCCGTGTGTCCTCTTTTCCTCCTCCTCTTGAAACGGATAGGGGTGGGCTGGGGAACAACAGTCTTTTCTAACAAAGCTTTATATTTGCATAAAAACTGTTGATTTGTAATTATTTGCCTAAGTGCCTGCCGTACAGATAAATTACAGACTCCTGTGGGACAGATGGGTTCTGGCATTTTGCTGGAAACCTAGTAATTGCCAAAAAAGTATCGTTAAGTTATAAAATATACTGATTCTCTAGTCCTGCCTACAGACTTTCTTGAAATTTGATAAAGGTTTATTTTCTTGGAAAATGGAAGTCTCCTGGAGGATACTAACTCAATTTCCTTTTTATCCACAGGCCCTTAAGAGGAGCAGTTGCGGGTAATTTTCGAATAAGTGGAATGTGGCTTTTGCTTCGTTCTGGTCTCTTTTAGTCGCTGCTTCTTTATTTCTGTCAGAAGGTTGGACTCATTGGACTGTCATGAAATGCCCCAAGTAACATGAAAGAGAGCCACTTTTACTTTTGCTTAATAAATCTTGCTTTTGTTTTCATCTTCTCTTCAGAAAAGAAAGATGTGACGCAAAGCCTGGAGAACTATACGTCCAAGTGTCCTGGGACCATGGAGCCCATCGCGCTCCCTGGCGGCCTCACCCTGCCTCCGGTGCCCTTCACCAAGCTTCCCATCGTCAGGTGAGATGGGCCTGCAGAGTGGAAAGGCAGCTGCCTCCGGGACACCGTCTTGTAGTCGGATTGTGAATAGAGATCTTTAGAAGAGCTCCATTTTTTATTGACTGTGTATTGGGTTCATTACCGCCTCAAACTTGACAGCAGTCCTGTGACATGAAAATAAGTATTTTAGAGATGAGAGATTGGGGTCAGTGACATTCCATAATTGCTGCACTTCCATTCCCAGTAAATGGCAGAGTCACGTCTGCACCCAGCCTTGCCTGGTTCCAAAGTCCGCATTGCGACCACACTCCACTGTGGTGGACACCAGCCTGACGGTGTCGTCTCCTCCTTGCAAGCTTCCCGTGGTTTCCCTTTCCACAGACAGTGCACCCCCTGCCCCCAGCCACACAGGAACAGGGTAGCTCCTCACCCACACCAGCGCTCACCAGGTCTGCCTTTGCCTTGCACTGCCTCTGCCTGGCGGTCACTCTCCTCTCCTGGCTTCATTCTGTCTGTGCTCCTTCATTCCTTCACGTGCATCCTGAGCCCAATTTCCAGGACGTCTTTCCTGAGATGTGAGCTCCCTGAGTTTCCATGGCACCCATTGCTCACCGCCCTCCCAGGATTTGCTGCTGGGTGCCGTCCTTGCTCTGTGACTGTCACTCCTAAGGGTGTGAGATGTTAGAGCGGAGACCCTTCAGTGCATGCAAAGTGGGTCCTTGCAAAAGCTTTTTGCTTTTTCTTAATCACTCAAGGCTTAGGACCTGCAAAAGGTTTACGAACTAATCTTGTGAAGCAGTTTCTGAATTTCGGAAAGATGTGTTTGAAGACTGGAAAGAAACAGTCAAATTTGACATTTGGCTGTTGGGTGGAAGTGTGGTAGCCCTAAGGTCTGGTGTGATGAAGATGCTAAGCGTCTTGAAAGCGCTCTTGGCTGGGCTGTTGTTCCCCGGGTTCCCTTCGTCTTGCCATACATGGGGCTTTGACTCACACGCCAACTGCATTCCTCGAATGAGCCACCTAACCTCCTGGGTATCAGTTCACTTGTCTCCCGACTATGCCCCCAAAATTAAGAATGATAACCCATAGCATGAAGCTATTACGGGGATTTAATGAAGTAACATGGAAAAGCATGTGTATGGTGCTTAAGAAATGTTAGTTTTCTTTCTCCCTGCATTTCTTTGAAGGCAAGTCTAGTACTGCCAAATGAAGTGCTTGCTTTTTTGCCTAAGAGTCGTGTGCTCCCGAGAAGTAGGGGCAGAAGGCGTTGCTGTGGGGAGCCATGGTGGCTCTGGCCAGTTGTCCTGGCGCTTGAGGAGGCGAGGCTATGAGTTCAAGGCCAACCTGAGCAACATAAGGAGCTCTCATTGATTAACAACAACAAAAAAAGGGTCGCTGTGGGTTGCAGCTCCAGGCAGGCCATGCTGGAATTATAAGGTGTTCTGAAGGGCACTGCTGAGGTTTACCAGGCAGAGCTGCAAGGAGCAGCACCCAGAAGGCAAGGCTGTGCCCGAGAAGATGGTCTGGCCGTTCCTCAGAATGCCCGGAGGGACTGGCAGCCCACAGTCTGGAGGGTCCAGGAAGGCTGTGACTGCTCTGCAGCGCCCGCTGCTCCCTCAGCACCGATGCAAGCTGTGAAGGAAGGGGCCTTTCCAGCTTTTCTATGAGTAAGGCTTAGAGCGGAACACATTTGACTTGGGATTAAGGGCATGATTCATTTTTAAAAGATTAAGGTCTAGAAAAGCCTTTCTTATTAATTTTATATTTGCATCATGACTTGAATCATTTTTAAATTTAGAAAACCTTGCCTAGTAGAATGTTATGAAGCTTACAGAACATTCTGGGTGTTCGGGGCTGTGTGTAGATACCCGGGAGCTCAGGCTTCTTGTCGGTGAAGCTGGGGATGACTGGTCCATGCAGGTCGTTGGAACCAAGGAAGAAGTGTGTTTGTTCTCCTTGCAGCCTGCCAGGCATCCCTGCGGTTGAAGCCAGAGGCTGTGGGTTCACTCTCACTTGTATGTGGCCTTGGTAAAGAAGCAGCCCCTTTATGCTTCGTTTTCTTCATCTTTGAGCCAGGCTTAAAAATTGCCCCATGCAGGATGGTTTGGTTTTGTTTCAGCTGAGCAGAGGCACACGGAGGCACAGAGCACGGTGCCTGGTGCCAAAGAAGTGCTCAGTGCATCTTAGTTTTCTTCTTGGAGACATTTCCACCTGTGTTTTCAAACAGCACGTTGAAAAGTACCGTAACATTCGCATTTTAGTCCCTCGGCTGTTAAAACATTAGAAAAGACAGATTGGGTGAAAGAATAAAAGTCTAAATTTGGGCAGGCGGTATTCCCCGAATCTTCTACAAGCATCCCTTTCCTGGGCAGTGCGTCTCTCTCACACTCAGGGTCCTGTGGCTCCTGTGGCGGAGCTCCCTGTGAACAGCTAGCTGAGTCTTGCCTGGCACCCTGGTGCCATTGCTCTTCCCCAGTGTGGTCATGGAGTGTTTTTAAAAATCTGATTTTATGTACTACACACCATCTCCGTAAACATATTCATGACGGTTTTCTGGAGACTTTAGCTAGAGAAGTAAGCCCTGTGTGTCCTGGTGACTCCTTCACCTGGATTGTACCTGGTCTCTTTGAACCCTGGAAAGAAGAACTGCCTGAGATTCCGTGTAGTAACCCCCTGGAACATCGGCGCAACTGGCCAAATGAAAGGGAATGTCTTTGGGACATGTGGAGAGCCAGAGTGTCTGGTAGCTTGCCCTGCTCATGAGCCACGGCTTGGAGAACAGACTCCAATGTACCTGCTCTGCATGCTTGCAGCCCCCTCTTTGACTGCTCTGTCTCCACACTGGACTGCAAGCCCCCTGTTTCTCTGGTCTGATTCTCTTGCTTTCCCTTGTGGAAATACTTAGAGTGGGCAAAATGTGTGTTGGGTTTTATTCCTTCACTTAGGCTTCGTCTCCTGCTTGGAATGCCTGTGCTTCCCTGCTTTCCTGACAATGCTTAGGCATCTTTCACTATTTCAGTTCAAGGATTACGTCCTCTATAAAGCCTTTCCCGGAGCCACCCAGGTAGAAATAACTATACTTTCTTGGTAAGTTAGGAATTATTTCAGCTGTAAAGAACAGAAGACCTAATAGTAGATAGTCAATAGGAAGTTATTTCTCTAATTTATTAAGAAGCTGGACCGGGCGCGGTGGCTCACGCCTGTAATCCCAGCACTTTGAGAGGCCAAGGCAGGTGGATCACAAGGTCAGGAGTTTGAGGCCAGCCTGACCAACATGGTGAAACACCATCTCTACTAAAAATGCAAATATTAGCTCGGTGTTGTGGCATGTGCCTGTAACATCAGCTACTCAGGAGGCTGAGGCAGGAGAATTGCTTGAACCTGGGAGGCAGAGGTTGCAGTGAGCCAAGGTCATACCACTGTGCTCCAGCCTGGCTGACAGAGCAAGACTCTGTCTCAAAAATAAAAATAAAAAAGAAGCTGTAAACAGGTGGCCTCTCTGTAACTCTGTCTTTACCTCATGATTATCAGATGGCTGCTGAAGCTCCAGATAACACAGCTACATGCAGGGTAGAAAGAAAGGAGAAAGGGCAGGTCTAGGAATGTCTATCTTTTGCTTAATAGGGAAGCAAAAATGTTCCTGACAGATTGAGAGTGGGCTTCTGTCCCAGTCTCATTAATGGGAAGTGTGTCTCATGGCCACCTGTAATTGCAAGACAGGCTGTAAAGATAAATTTAGCTTTCCTAGGATCTGTGATACAAACGGGGAAGGGAGAATGGGGTCAAAAATTGGTGCTTGGTCAGCCAGCGAACAGTATGTGCTGTATCTGTGTTCCGCTTACGGAACTTGACTGTACATCTTTGTTGACATTTTAGGTCCTTCTCTCTGAAGAGCTTTTTGTCTTTGTAGCCCCCTGGTGACCTCATATGCTGAATGAGTAAATAGTTGGATCCCTTAGAATACTTTGTAATAGCAACTGATAGAAAACCTGACCCAGACTAACTTAGGCAAAAAGAATTCATGGCACGTATACCTGAAAAGTTCCTGGAGGAATTCAGGTAGGGCTGGAGTCAGGGCTCAAACAGCCTCATCAGACTTGGTTTCTGGCCTTCTGAGCTCTGTCTTCTGCAGCGTTGGCTTTAGTTGCAGGCCTCAGCTGCTGTCAGAGTGGCCCAGCAGCTGCAGGCCTCACATCCTCTTTCTACCGCACCCAGGAAGAGAGAGGAGGTGCCTTTTAGTAACATCTGTAAAGGGAAGCTGCTTTCTTTCAGCGGGGAATGTCCCTTTGCTTTTCACTGCCCCTTCTGGGGTCATGGACTCAGATCTGATTCAGCCCCGCAAACCATGTGGCTGCAAGGAGACACGTGTGGTTCCCCTGAAGCAAAACCTGGGAAGAGCTGGGCACAGGACAAGAGGGAAGTGGATGTTAGGAGATAACTGACAAGGACCACTCATCCCGCCACACTGCTCCAGATCAGAAGTCCTGTTTTTGGTTTGTGACCTGTTATGCTTATGAGTCAAGATAATGCTTTGATGAATAGCTGCCCTTCCCAAGTCAGAAGGCAGACCTTGGAAAAGCGCAACCTTGAAGCGAGTACCTGCTTTATTTTATGAACCACATTTCGTCATCCTTGGACTTGTGACACTTTCTGATGCAGAGGCCTGGTCATATGGTTCCATTCTTTATATGAGACTTATTTTCACACATAGATAAAAATGTGCACACTCTAATGGGCTGGCCACATTCGCTATACACGCCTTTCTCCTAAGGTTTTGCCATTTGAAAGTAGGAAGAATTAGGACAGATGTGATGTCCTTGCTCCTTAATTCTTCAGCCTCAGCACTTTTCTTTTTCATGTCAAAGCAAGATCTTTTTTTCCTTTAAAGATATGCCATGGGCCATACCTCTAGAACAGATTCTATGCCATTTCCTCCTCTAAGACTGTCATGATTTTGTGTGAGGGATACTGATGTGGAAGCATCTTTGTAGGTTTCAGAAAGGAAGGATAGTAACTAAAAT